TATAGGTGTAGCCAGGGGAGGGGGAGATGATGGGAGCGATCGCACCCCCTGACTGAAAGCTCGCTACTAAATATGCCCCTGGATTACTTTATATAACTAGAAAAATATCAACTCAGCACAGTGGCAAATCCCACTGATCAAAATATATTTAATAAAATCATTAGTCATTTTGTAAACCAGAAAAAAACACTAAGAAGTATTGTCTCCTATTGGCAAATTCGATTCATGAAGGGATATGATGCCTAATACTAGAAATTTATTAAATAAATTACTGCGTAGATAAACTGACTTGTAATTAAAGAAGTAGATACTTTGTTATAACTGTGTAGATCAACTATATTTGTAAATATAGATGTACATGTTAAGTTATTACTTCGTAGAAAACCTGTACTTGCAAATACAGATGTACATGTAAAGATATTTTTATGCAGATAAACTGTACTAACTTAACTTGAAAATAAAGAAGTACATGTAGATACTTTGTTATAACTGCGTAGATCAACTGTACTTGTAAATATAGATGCACATGTCAAGTTATTACTTTGTAGAAAACCTGTACTTGCATTTATACAGATGTACATGTTAAGTTATTACTGCGTAGATAAACTGTACTTGCAAATACAGATGTACATGTAAAGTTATTACTGCATAGATAAACTGTACTTGCAAATACAGCTGTACATGTAAAGTTATTACTGCGTAGATAAACTGTACTTGCAAATACAGCTGTACATGTAAAGTTATTACTGCGTAGATAAACTGTACTTGCAAATACAGCTGTACATGTAAAGTTATTACTGCGTAGATAAACTGTACTTGCAAATACAGCTGTACATGTAAAGTTATTACTGCGTATATAAACTGTGCTTGCAAATACAGCTGTACATGTAAAGTTATTACTGCGTAGATAAACTGTACTTGCAAATACAGCTGTACATGTAAAGTTATTACTGCGTAGATAAACTGTACTTGCAAATATAGCTGTACATATCACTCTACAACTACAGCCCATTTCACTGTTTTATTTCGTCAGTAGAACCCAAAAAATAAGAAATCAGGAAACCAATTGTAAAATAATATATGGAAAAGTGTGTTCATATTGTACACGAATGACATTTGTATATTTCTGATAATTTAGTTTTTTGTACAATTACAATAAGCCTATGACCTCTTGTAATTTAAAGAATTTCACCCATGTTAATCTTTTTGAAAATACTATGGCAGAGAAGCAAAATATTAGAGGCCACATACTTTATTAGCCAAACTAGAAGCAATCCAAGATATACAAATGTCATTTATGTACAATAGGAATATATTATTCCATATATTATTGCACAATGATCTTTTGATTTCTTATTTTTTAGGTTTTACTGACGAAATAAAACAATAAAATGGGCTGTAGTTTATCTGTAATATCACATTTTGTAGAAACATTGTCTTTCAAATGAATTTTGGGAATACAATGACACTTACTATATATTAACTGTAATGTCATTTAACATTCATTTATATGTTACTCATTAAAGCTCAACATTTTGTATTAGGGCTGGTCGGAACAGAATCAGAGTAAGTTAAACTTAATTGAATAACTTGTTTACTTAGCAGATTTAGAGGCAGATTGAGAGAATGTCAACACGGAGACATTTCCAACTGGCCAATAGTCTGAGTACTGCCAAATATGGGCAGTTATGTTAATATCTTAGTTGCATTCCATATTTCTACATTCATCTTAAATGCTTACATGTTAGTAGTAATACCAGACTAAAAAGTAAACCTTGACTAACACCATCATTATTTGACAGAACCACTATTTCTATCATCTAAAAAAGGAAATTCATGAAAAAGGAAAAATCTAAATAATGTTTTGCTTTTGCTCAAAAATGACCTTGTTCAGAAGTTCATTTCCAAAGGTTACCCTGTTTCTGTTCCTTGCCTGACTCTCTACATAAACGAGGAATGTTTGTTCAGTCTAGAAATATTACATAATTCATAAACATTAGGTAGTTTCAGAGTATCAAATATTTGACATCAACATAAACAGACCTCCTAACATAAACACGATTTACAATTTCATAAACTAAATAATGAATCTCATTGACATTTGATTTGTTGTTAATTATGAATGTAAAACATATATTGCTTCTCATTTAAACATTGAAATATATACAGGCATAAACTTTCCATAAATTACAATGTTTTTAATTGAGTGAGGAGAATGTTAAACCTCTGAGTTCTTTTACCCTGGACTAATACAACAACCCTCTATAAAGTATGATTAAATATTTTAAGCGTTTTAACAATTGCTTTTATGGACTAGAAAGTTGATTTATCCCTTACATTGTTTAAAGATCTCATTGTCATAGCGATATCATTATTTATCACAATTGTTTGAATCTATACTCTACAAATATCTACATTTGTATATCTATATTAATACATCAATCAGAATAAATCTGGCACTTTTAACTACAATAAGGCACTTATATTGAGACAATCATTATACTGCTTTGTGTATACACATATACTACCTAGTATATCACTTGAAGTATTGACACCCCAATCAGACTGTGTGCTGGTCATGGTATCATGAATTTGTGAGAAGCTATAAAGTATGAGACATTGTAGTTGAAACTTTATTGTTTCTGATTTGGAGCCCTTCGTCAATTTATGATACTGTGTGCAGCTCTTGGTGTAATTGAGGCATCAATTTTACCAATGTAATTGGTACATACTGCTCTGTAGCACATTCTATGTTTAATCAGTATATATCATCACATGTGTGCTACATGCAACCGTATATGAAAAAAGAAAATTAAACTAAAATCATGCAACAGTAAAACCTGTCTATGTGGAACACCTTTGGTACCTCTAAAAAGTGTTCCACTTGGGAGGTTTTCCACTTACTAGAGTATGGAGGTTCATCTAACATTAAGCAAATTGGTCCTGGAACTCTGAAAAATGTTCCACTTCTCGGTGTTCTACATTTCAGGTTTCACTATGTTTTATAATAACCATATATTGTTCCAAGGAAAATTGAAAGCCATTATTCAAACTTGATACTCCATTCCCTAGCATGGATCAATTTAGTAACAAATTACTGCTGATATTTTGTAATTTTGCCAAATAAGGAAGCTTGAATGTTACCGTAATATTTGAAATGTCCATCTTCTAATGAAATACTTAGTCCCCATAAAGCCTCTAACCTATTAGCACTGTTCCACAACTAGTTACTTTGACGGAACGTCAATGTAACAAAATGGATGAACTTCCTGGATACGACTTTTTCGTTTTCTCGATTTAAACTTACTTATAAGTCATGTTGCAAATTATCATTTGGCACATAGTTACATAGTCTAGACTTTAGAAATGCTTTCGGTTTGGATTTTTATTTTTAAATAAAGCTGTTATTCATGCATTTAGACCATCGCTTTTGTTACATTGACGTAAGTTGTCAAAGTAACATACATTGGTAATATAACAGACTTTCATCAATGTAACAAAAGCAGGGGGCTAAATATATGAATTGCAACTTCATTTACAAAACAAATTCCAAATCGAAGAAACTTATTAAAATTAGATTATATTTTTGAGCTTTGTAGACTATTGTGCCAAATTATAATCTGCAACTTGACTTAAGTAGGTTTAAATCGAGAAAATAAAAAACTTGTAACCAGGAAGTTCATCCATTTTGTTATATTGACGTTCCATCAAAGTAACTAGTTGTGGAACAGTGATTAGGAATAGTTTTACTAAATTGTTTCATGCCAGGCAACAGAATATCGAGTTAGACTTATGGCTGCCAATCCTCCTTGTTTTATTTCTTAAAATATTCTAACCCTGTAAATACATTTATACCAATACATTTGTTATACTGCCTTGTAAAACATTCTCTTGTCTGTATAATTGATATATACAACATATGTGTAAAAGTATATATTTAACTAAAATTATACTGTTTTATAATTAAACTTATATCATTTCTTATAAAGAAATTATATAATAAAGCCTGTACATTTATCTGAATTATAAGGGTCCATCTCAAAATAACAGTGCAAGCCATACTAAAACTACTTTAATTTTGATTTAACCCCTTCCTCTCTTGATGATTAAAAATAAATACTGGCTTCCAAAGGAGCTTTGAAATAAGATGACTTGAAATGAGAAAATAAATTGAAACTCTATACCCCAAAATATAATTTAAACCTTTACTGTTGTTTTGATCCCTCATAACTAATCATATAAGCTCGACATTTTAGGACATTTTAGTACAGTGCCCAATATTGTAAACTGGTCAATATTGTAAATTGGTCAAAAATAGACAGGAATTTTAATCACAGTAATTACCAGGAATGTATAATGACCAATGTTCATTGATCGAACCAATGAATTTGATGTTCGAACATCACATCCAAGTTTGGAAGTACTGTAGTACTGTAGTGTAGGTCTCCAATTAGTCCAGCTGCAAAGCCCTTGTGACCCCCCCCCCTTCCCATTACTTGAATCCACACCTTCTCACATAAGTGGGTGGTGGACAGAGTGGGTAAAGACAACAGGGAGTCCTGAAGCAAGACTAGTCTTCAATTACATGCTTAAGATGTGACTAGATTGTTTCTTGAAGTTCCCTAAGTTTCTATTTTTTTGATAATATGTAGGTTTTGGTTTGAGTCCCAATTATGTGGGTTGTAACTTTGTGTTCTTGCTCTTGATAATAAGTATTTTTACAGCCCTCAAATCTGTATTTGGGTGAGGTGTAAAGGGGTGGGGATCATAATGGCTTAAACTGAAGCAAGGTTATTGATTTTGTGTAGGAGTTGGTGACTAGGTATCCTTGTGAGTATGTCTCTATTATGTTGGCTAAATGCTGCTTAGATACTCCTGTACTAAACAAGTGTGACCCACCTCCCTAAACATCTGATATACATAAGTGAGAGGGATCCAAGTCTATTATACACATGAACATGCAATAATTGTTCTTGAGCAGGTTTTATGGTTTATATTGTCATAAGAATGTTCAGACTTTTGGTTTTGCATTGAGGTTCTGGGTGCCAGTGATGATGCCATATGGACGAAGGTGATACGTGTAGAATTCTAAATGATACATCATTTTTGGGTCGACATAGTGGAATGAAATAGCATAGTCGCTGATGTTCCCTGGGCCCTACAATCACACGTTACAGTTCAATTTATAATATTTTCACTCTATTTTTAAATCAAAACTTTTAAAAGGACATTCTCTTAACAAGAAAAAGATTTCTAAATGACAGACAGGAAGTCGAAATTTGGTCAAAAACATTTATGCCACATTTGAATATACTCACCTCTGCTCAATATACAAAGAGAATGCACCCCCAAACTATGTGTTGGGGAGATAAAGTGTTTGTTAAAGATTAGATAAAACATCTACTTACACCCTTAGCCCCATGAGCATCATACGAAAGAAACCAGTCAGGGTACCCGCCATCAAGATGAGTTGGAGGATTGAAACAATGAAAACGACTACGTCCTAAAGCATCCCTTGAATCTCCTGCGGTGACCCCCAGATGCTCCATGCATCTTCCCATCTCTACATCTTCTGAGCCACCATCGGGATGACAATGTGCAGGATCTTTCACTCCTTTCTCAGCATATCTTTTTAAGGCCTCATGAGATAATACATAACCACCACCACCACTGAAATAACCCTGTTTTATAATTACTTTAAACTTATGTCCAAAGTATATAGGATCTGTCCGTTTATAAGCTGATAGTAAATATCTTAAATTTTCTACAATGACGAACGTATCATCATCAGCTTTGAGGAACCAATCAGCTTGGTCCTTATAGTTATCCCAGCAGTATTTGAATGACTGCATTGTTTTAGCAGTTAAATGTTCCCTGCCTTCAGTTGTATTTACCCCCACAGTTGGGAAATCTTTATTTGTCTCGGAGCTTATGAAGATAACGATATTACAGCGTTTTGCCCAGGTGGCCCGGACATGTTGAGCTTTACTTTTAAGGTTCTGTGGACTTGTCATGATCCAACAAAGTACACGTACTGTTTTGTATAGAGTCTCTGCTGAAGTGGTGTTATCTGAAAAACATACATATAAACAGGTTAACAATGTAAGAGTATATTATGAGGGGCAGGTTTAACTAGCGATTCAAAGGGGTTCATTAGATTTTTTTTACAATAGACAAAGCAAATGAAATTATAGGCAAAAATTTTGGAAGTTACAGTTTGAACATATAAATCTTTGCAAAATTCTTGAGAACAAAAGGTAATTTGAGAAAGTCACCAAAAGCTCCCACATATATATAAATATAATAAAAAAGTAGAAATATATTGATAAGATTGATAATACAATATTTCACTGAGGTGAATACATGTGTTATTCCATAATAACATGTTTTTCCTATACAGGGTGTGCCAGGAAACTTTTCAACTTTGTTAAAAGGCTAGAAAAGTATCATAACATTATAGGTATTGACATCAAGTTTTTTACAAAAACTTAAGAAGAGGCACATTTTACCATTCAAATACTTCAGCTAATACAGACATCAATTTTTTTTGTCAGATCTTTGAATATCAATGGTAAATTGTTCATGTGTTCGAGATTTATTGTTTTTCTTAGAAAATGTGACTTTCTATGATTTGATGTGATAAAACATTGGTTAGTACATTTATATAGGTTAAAGCCCCTGAATCAAATATTTGTATTCACTGGTTGTCTAATTTAACAAGCACGACCAGTGAATATCGCCTGATATTTAATGACATGTGACCCGATTTTGACCAATCAGACAATTGCAAGAGTGACATTGATCTAATAATTCCAAATATAGACCTTTCATAGACAATGGATAAGCAAACAATACGCAACTAAAACAACTCAACCATGAGAAGTCTGAGACATGATTCAGGAAGCTTTTCTCTTTAAAAGAGAAAACAGCTAATCGAAGAGGCATGAAAATGATATAAGAGAGTGACTGGTAATATTGTTAAATATTGATCTTTCAATTAAATATCTGTTTTTCACAACTGAAGATATTGAATGATGGTACCAGTAAGAAATCTGGCTCATGATTCAGGTGGTTTTTCTATTAAGCATTCATAAAGCATAAATTATTGAATGCAGAACCTGGCAAGTATTGATTATCAATATAAATACATGTAGTACAAAGTAATAATAGCAAAAACGTGAGCACAAAAGAAGAGCAGAAATTTAATTGATTATTGCTTATTATGTAAAATCAACACATACATGCACAATAGCTAGTTACAGAATTGAACATTTCATTGATATTTTCTTCTCATGTTAGCATAATTGTTTAATGAAAAGTCATTGGTATATAGGACTAGCATGAAAAAAAAACGTAAATCACAAATCCTATAGTCTTTTAATGTAGATTACAAATTGGTTCACATGTCTACATATCTTTTAAAGGTGAACATTTATCTTAAAGATTTACTTATAGTCTTCTTTAGTTTTCATGGAGTCACTTTTAGAATTACTGAATGCATGAATTTAAAAAGTCTAACCAGGGAAATAATTGTGAAGTTTGAAGGGAGTTTATTATCAGTCTTTATGGGTTTGAATTATATTTTGTTAAAAAGCATTTATTATGCCAGTATATTTCCATGATATATCAATAGTTTATACAATAAAGCAATATCATTTGAAATCAGAATACTGCTGGAATTTCTCTTTTAAAACATATTAATATCTTAAAAATTAATATGCCAGTAAAATAAGTACTGTAGATACACTTAATTTGACGCTGCTTAATTTGGGGATTCGCTGAATTTCAAATATTGACGGCTATTTAATTTGGCGGATTGAGATTAATTTAGCGGATTCCTCCAGTTTTTTATCTCCGCTGAAGCCTACTGTTGTCCCTTCATTTTTATGTGATTATGCGCCCGCAGCATAATTCCACATGTTTTACCTTGGCCCGCATAATCCACACACAAGCGCATTAAGTTGCATAAAAGACAAAAATCCCCACTTACTTGCAATAAATGCCAACTCGGCCATTGATTTACAGATTGACCTGGAAAGAATATGTGTTACTGGAACAGTTCCTTATCAAAATAATGACAGAATTAAAAGAAATCATAGTTCTACATTCAAAACTTTTTAGCGGAAGCTCATCGATGGGGTGTATTTTGCGGACAACGATCCGGATCCGGCATATTTTTGCATAATTCAACAAAATGAAAATCGCACCAATTTGCATAATATCCAGAATTTTAAAAATTCCATTGTATTATTTGAGATTTTTTGCATAAAACTGAGGGGACAGCCACTGGAATGCCTTTTTGTCTATATATTAATGTCACTATGACATGTATTTATAAATCAAGATATTGTCTGAAGTTCTCTTGAAATAATGTAGAATTGGCATTTTGACAAAATCTTTTGAAATGAGGCCCAGAATTTTAATTCTGGATCTACACTGCACGAACTGAAATTTCCCTGGGGATTTTCCAAAATGCATCTGAAAATAGGCGGATTTTCAATTTGGAGGATTTTTTTCAATTTGCCAATTTATCTAATTAAAATGGTAGCCAAATTAAGTGTATCTACAGGATTCAACAATCAACAGGTATCAAGATACAGTTAACACCTCCCAGTTGGTAAAATAGATGCAAAAGTTTGTCTCTTTGAACAAGAATATTAAGGGGTATCCTGGTTTTACTTGTCTGTCCACTTGCCCCTTCAAGATTTCTAGTTGCGTGGTAAATCCTGATTTAGGGCTAATGGTAAAACCAATTCCTAAATCAAAAATTAGATGACATGGCAGCAATAACATATGCCAGGGTATCACAACACTTTATCAATAAAATTCGAGTATGTCTCATGATAAGATTGACACAGTTACTGAATGTACATTGTATATGTGTATTATGATCCCAGGACACTTTTCAATTTTTATTAACCCATGATATGATATAAATTATAGAAGCATTGCAACGCATGACATGTAACTATTTCTATAACACATTGTGTGAGAATCCAAAAAACGTCAAAAACATGAAAAGTAGTACCTCGTATATATACAGTACCTAGAGCACTAATAATGCAGTTAGCAATCATGTCATAGATAGATAATGTTTATCAGGTCAATGTTATCAAGTCAATAAAATGGACTTTATTGTCTTTACAAATGGATGATTAAAAGAAAAAAATGACATTTGTGTTTTTTGTGTGCATCAGTGAAAGTTTGAAAATTAAAAAATACAAGGAGGGACAAATTTAAAATCAGTGTTCTCCCCAAAAAAAATTTTCAACTGGGTGCAAGATTTCAAGTCTGAAAAAATCAGCACTCGCTACGCTCACAAGATCTCAGTGTAGGTGCTTTACTTCACTCATTTTTCAAATCAGAAGTTGAAGTGCAGATTCCAACTGGGTGCCAACTGGGGGGCCTTTGGTTTCAAGTAGGGGGAGCCCCCGGTAAAAGTGACATGGGGAGATCACTGAAAATATCAATTTTTTCATTTTGCTATGAATTATTTAATAAGCTATGGATTTAAAAAATACTTTAGTTGAAGATGCAGGCCGGGTCAAATAAACAAAAACACATTAAAATGCAGATCTTAATTGACCTGTATTTGGAATAGAGATCTCTCACAAGCTTTATAAGATAAAGGGAGGTGCTAATGAATCAGAATAAGTGACCTGGGACAGATGGCAAGCTTACATTCTTTCTATTGTCAATTTTCATACATGTATTTAGAATTTGGACAATCATGAAAAATCATGGCCTTCTACTAGCAGTTTCTATTGAATTTTTACAAAAAATGTTGGTCCCCTTTGCAGACATATCTTCCCATCCCACTTAGTAATAAGCAGCTGTTTCATAAAGAAAACAATGCAACATATGCAACTAAAATTCGACATTAAGAAGCTCGTTAAATTAATATATACAAATGATTTCATTTTCATCTAGGAATCAATTAATATTTTCATTGCTTGAAGGCAATATTTAAGTATGACTCCATACTGGCCAAATAGTCAGAATTCATTCTTGGTACATTTGTTATATATTTATATCAATGATAGTAAAAATGATACATATCTATTGTATTATTACAGTGAAGTTATCAATATAACTCAGTATGAAGTAGCTCAACCACCCCAGCTCCAAATACTATATGATTTTCAGTTTCAGGAGAAAATCACCATATTATTCAATAACATACAAAGTTTAAGGACCCATCGCAACCCCTGGCCAATGATAGACATACAAGAAATAGATTTGATCCAAGTCAACAATTGGTCAAAAATCAATTCTCCATTTCGCTGTTCGCTCTTTGAATCAGAACGTTCGCATATATGGTGCATATATGTACTCAAAAAGGACAAAATTTGATTGGTCAATATTTTTCAACGATGCATTTCGTGTAGCTATTTGTGAGACCCGAAAGTTCTAAATCAAATTAATTACGCAATTTTGTTTTTACACCCGCAAGCTAAATAAAAAAATGACACCATCGGAATTCTTCTTCTTTGTCATTGAATTAATAGTCAGTATACCAGATTTAATCAATAAAAGATTATACAATTAACAACAAAATTCGGAAACGAGTATGTAAGATTTGCTTTCGAACCACTAAACTTGACCTAGATAATAGCGACGTGTCTTCTTTGGTCAAATGCTCAGTTGTTTGTGGGTTTTCAACGTAACTCTATAATGTAATATGAAGATGAGTACTTTTATTCAGTTGTTGCATCGATGTTACAGTTTGTAGTGCGGTAATATTGGCATGAACGTGTTGAAAGTCGAATGGAATTGCTTTTTCCAATATGGCGACTAGTCACGTGACTTCTCTTCCGGAATATACTCCCATTTTCAATCATTGTTTTCACCCCGTTAGGAGCCAATAAAATGAAAAAAAATATATGTTATATAAAGATTATTAAAAGACTAATTGTTTCTGATAGTTTGTTTTCTCCGATCGCATGGAGATTCGATCGAAAATATCGCTTGAAAAATGGGTATGAAAATCCCCATGTTAAACCAACGGGGAAAAACAAGGTAGAAAAATTTTGTTCCCCCGCGAACTGCATCATGGGAAATATTTTGACCTTATAAGGAAAAACTTTCGCGCCATCTTTATTAGAGATTCAATACTACCGAATCCGCGATTTTAAGAATTAAGCGTACAAAGTCAAATTATTTGGAATGAACTCAATTAGAGAAATTAATAGCAGAGAATGATTTAAGATGATTACAAAAAAAACTACTACTGAAATATCAACAACCTTAAATTAAACTTAAATTGTTAATACATGTATGTTTGTATATAGGTTCGTATTTTCCACAGCAAATGGCGATAGCTGTAAATCATTCTTTCCTTATTCAACATCACTAACAGTCAAAATAAGGCTTTAAAAAGGCCCAGTAATACCCTGAAAGGCCAACTAATTAGCAAATCCGAATGAAAAAATATTATTCTGGAAATCAACTTTGGACTCTATCATAAAGAAAGAATATCTTTTTATAATATTTGCAACACCAACACACTTGATTTGAATATAATGAAGCCGTATTGTGAGATTCCAAAACTATTATGAATTCCTGCATTTTGGCTGGCATTTTGGATTTTATAAGGCAGAAATAAGATAAAAATCAAAAATGTTCCTCACAATTTTGACACTTTGATTTAAACATATAGCTAATCATCAACATGTCTGATATTGCAATTATCACATTTGTTTGCAGTCGTAGTTATTCACTTCTAAAAGAAAAGCGCATTTTTCATCATTGACAAAAGAATAATGTGGAACAATAAATTAATGATGACACCTGTTTTATATAGGCCATGCAACAAAGAATGGTATGTCCAGAACAGATATTGACAAACACATTTTTAACAAACAATGACTGATATCTCACTTGTCAATAATTTATGATTTACAATATGCATCTAGTATATGGCAGCTGGAGAAATGTCAAAAGTTGTTCATTTTTGTTTTTTTCAAAACAGTCTGATCTGTTAGTCTCCCAATACATTTCTGACAATATTTCTATTTTTCTTTTATGAATACTGAAGGTCATTTTTAAGGCTCACATGTTGAAAAAGCTGATTTCTTCAAAACATTCCTATTCATATGAGTTGGGACGGTTCCAACTCATACCAATCATGTAAATTACCATGATGATGAACCCCATAAAACAAATAGGGAGTACGGCTTACATGAAAGCCATAGCTTCAATCTGTCCAAATATTGTTCACATATGTGGATAGAGCCAAATGAGTAGATGATTTCATAGATATTTGATTGATAAAGGTTCTCAAAGATAGCTTCCTTTATACACTCTTTAAGTTAAGAGAAACCTCTGAACCTGGGGCAAACTAGTGCTTTTCATTCCTGGGGGGTTGAGGTTCACTGTATATAAACCTTGACCAGGATTGGTCTTATATTTGGTATGGCATTGGTCTTATATCTGGACATTTTGTATAGTATTGGTCTTATATTTGAGCATTTGGTATATAGCATTGGTCCTATATTTGGACATTTGGTATGGCTTTTGGGCATTATTTTGGTTGGTATGGGAATATATTGAAATTTGACAGGTTGATATGGGAACATATTGATATCTGAGGGTTCAGTCTAGGACCCCCCTCCCAAAAAAAAATTTAATGGTCATTCCTTCTGCTCTCTGATTGGTTGCATTATTTTATAACGACCCCTCCACTACAAAAAGTATTTGTATATAAAATAATAACACATAACGAAATGTGTTATTTCACAATATCAGCTTGATAGAAAAGTTATGTAATTTAGATGGGGCTTCAAATAATGTGTTTACAACTACTTGTAGTTACAGCAGGAGGATCATTGTGCTCTATAGATACTGAACTCACAGTACTTTTTGTGTGCGATTTAATTCTGCGCAATTCACGATGGTGGTAAAATCTTGAAAATAATTGGCATGAAATTTATTGAATCCCCGGGGAAAAATGACATTGGGTAGAAATGATGCATTGAACCATTGTGCCAAAGGCTAGTAAATGTCAACTTGTCAACAAGTCCTGATCGACACAGAAGTAGCTTTACTAAACGACTTATGTTCTGTGAACAAAGGATATAACTGTAATGCAGGTTAGATAGACTTTGAAATAGGTTTTAGTACAGAAAGTTATACAGTTAGCTTAAGACTATAAAGGGCCTATAAAGAAAATAAATTCTTACCATGATGATGGTGTCCATCATCAAATGAAAGTGGCTTATCTGGTCCCTTGATAGAATCGATCTCTTCATGAGATTGCGGATGCCGGAATGATAATTGAGAATGCGTGTCATTATGGAATGTATATCGTGTCGCTTCTACAGCTTCTGAAAGTCTATAATTTCTAGCAAGTGATTGTGGCAGCGCTACATTTCCAAAATTTGCTGCTATGAACGAAATAATTAAACCAACTGTAAGTCCTATGACGAAATAAATTGCTACAATATGTTGCTTGACCATTTTAATAATCAGTTAATGACGATTTACAAGCAGAATGAGTATTTCAAGCAAGCATTGCCGTTTCTAATCCTACTTCTGAAAACTTTTTGCACTCTGAAATGCGCATGCGCACGATCAGAAAAGTAAACAAACAGAAACCCAATGTTTAAGCGTTTGGTTAGCTGCATTCAGCAATTATACAACAATGAACATTTGAAAAACTTTTATTTCAACATTGTGCCTCTCATAATTGTAGTTTTTTTTATCAAATTGATAAAATAATCACTGAAAAAATGTTTTGTAAATTGGAGTACAATATCCGCATTTTACCCTCGCCGGCGGAAGTTCTAACCCGGAAGTTAAATTTGGATGTTGAAATATTTTATAAGTTACCTATTTTACTGAATCATATTGATATTATTGAAGATGTTAACAGTTCCTGTATTCAGAGGTAAGTGGACCAATATTTACATTTGGAGTGGATAAGCTGCAACGTGTCTTGAATACCTGACACTCACCTATTCATAAATTCACTTATTCATCCAAAATGCAACACATGTAAAGAAAGTGAAATTTATTTCAAATGCTGTCTTCTGATTCTTGTATCAGACACAATAGGTAAGTACTGTAGATTGTGCAGGTCATCCAACTTTCCAAAGATATCAGAATTTTTTTTTCGGAAATACCTCCTAAAGATTTCTCGAGTCTCTAGCCACCGCTAGAAGTATACGATGTTGCCAAGCGATCAAACGAGCCACATCATTGGCATAAATTCAAATCACTAAAGAAACTGATCCACAGTGAAATCCGCAAAGAACACCAACGCTACATAAACGACCTCTTTGATATCAACGAAAAGGAGATGCTCGAAGGACATTTACAACGTAAGAGCATTACCAAGCATTTTTGGACTTACATTAACTCTAAACGCAAGGATACATCAGGTATCAGTGTACTACGGGATTCCAATGGCAATGAAATAACAGATGCCACACAAAAAGCCAATATTCTCAATGAGCAATATAACAGTGTATTCACTATTCACTGATGAGGACCCAACTCTCCCAACCCTGGGACCCAGCCAAATCCCAACTATGTCAAACATTACAATCAATACCAATGGAATCAACAAATTACTCAAAGGCCGCAACCCCGCGAAGGCCTCAGGACCTGACCTCATACCTACTGGGGTCCTTCAGGAATGCAGCGATATCATCTCACCATACCTGCAAATCATCTTCCAGCAATCTATAGATGCAGGGACAATCCCCTCAGACTGGAAACATGCCAATGTCTCAGCTATATACAAGAAAGGACGCAGAGACGAGGCAGTTAACTACATGTACAGGCCTGTGTCTCTCACATCAGTTCCATGCAAGATAATGGAACATATCATATTTCACCATGTTATGGACCACTTTGATCTCCACAAAATTCTTGCTAACCACCAACATGGATTCAGTCAGCTAAACACTCGTGTGAGACCCAACTTGTAAACACCATAGAACAGATTTCACAAGCTCTTCATGTCTGTCGAGAACCAACAGGATGCACTGACACTCCAGGATGACCTTGACAAACTGGTCTCCTGGGCAAATACATGGCAAATGAAATTCCATCCCTCAAAATGCTATGTACTGAGTATTCACAGACGTAAATCACCCATCACACACAAGTACACTATGTTAGGAGAAGAACTGTGACCCACATTCCATATCTGGGGATCTGAATCACAAACAACCTAAACTGGATGACACACATACAAACAGTAGTATCAAAATCTAACAAGGTACCAGGCTTCCTCCGGCACAACCTCCACCAGTGCCCAGAGAACATTAAAGCCCAGGCATACAAGTCACTAGTACGGCCTAACCTAGAATATGCTAGTGCAGCATGGGATCCTTACCGCCAGAACGATATCAACATACTGGAACAGGTACAAAGAAGAGCAGCCGGATTTGTTACCAAATGTCACTCTAGGGAACCAGGCTGTGTCACCCAAGCTCTCCAACACCTGCAGTGGGAATCACTTCAATCCCGTAGGGAGGCTACTAGACTTTCCCTCTTCTACAAAGGAACTCACAACTAAGCAGCCATCACTATACCCATGGCCACTTACTTCAGCCCTCAAATAAACACAAACACTAGACAGTTCCATCCATCCAAATTCAACCAACCAGCTGCCAGAACGGATGCATACAAGTTTAGTTATTTCCAAGGACAATAGTAAAATGGAACACTCTACCCAGTGATATTTTAGACAGTGATAGCCTATCCAGTTTTAAATCTTCTGTCAGCAAGCAGCTTAACAATTAAGCTCAGTTGTATTTTAGCAATAGGTCTAGGTACATTCTTAAAATTTGTTTTTGTTTATACAAATGATTTTTGAATATGGCCAACTTTTCTACGAACGGGAGCATTGACCTTGGGGAAGATGCCTCCTTAAGTGGAGAAGTGTTGCATGATTTCAGTGTACATTTTAATATGAGTTGTAAACAATAGATCTATTTTTTAAATGTTAAGGTTCAAATTGTATTCTATTCAAATTATATCACTGTTAAACTATATATCTGCTTTAAATGGGCTTATTAGCCTTTTGCAGATTATTGATGTAGATGTAGATCTGGAATACTGTGAACCATTTGAAAAAAGCTGACTGGCGTGTTATAAATTTATTAAATATTTTAAAAATCGCCAGATAAATAAATCATGAATTATAATGGAACTGGCTTAGGGCTCCTTAAATTTTGCATGTTTTTGTCAGGATTTCGTCTAAATTCAAAATAAACGGCTCCAAGAAAAATGGCGATATTCGAAAACTGGACGAAATGTCGTTATTGTCTAACATTAGTAACTGGCTGTAAATTCTAAGTTAGTGATCCAGAAGATGTGAACTAATACATTGATCACTTCATGTGTGTTTTGGAATTTTGGTGAGGTAATAAGACCAAAACTCGCAATTCAAATTATGATATGGAAAAATGGGGAACTTTTGATTTCAAATTTTATGATTTCAACATTTCCCGTATACAGCAGTACATGCAGCATTTATCTTTGGACGATCGAAGGCCACAATAGAGTGGCCTTAGAAAAACTTTATTTTCACCATGGGAAGCCACCATAGTGGGCAATTCTCCAATGAAGCTAACATTTTTTTGTATTATATAGAATGAGATGATACTGACAGAATTAACAACTCTGGTTTTCATGCACCATATACTGGGATGACTGCTCTCAAAAATGAGATGATAGCACAAGATAATGTGCTGACAGCTTGACTGACTAAGGTGCCTAGTATCAGGGACTGTGGTGACGCTCTTTAAATATTTTAGATTGGCACTGTCTTTGATATTTTATATGAAATGTATATTTGCAGGGTCTATGCACCAACTTTCATCAATTACAAGAGCTTTACATACAAGTTCCATGTTTTGGTCTAAAGTAAGCAAAGAATCTCTGAGTAAGCTGCGCAAAAAGACTGGATTTACCTTCAGTAACTGCAAAAAGGCCCTTCAGAAATTTGACAACGATATGGTCAAAGTAAGTTTAAAACCTTTCTGTTTTGTTTGCAAGCAAGAAATTGGTGAATGCTGAAATTTCCAAATGGTCCAAAAATTTGAGCACAATCAAAGCCTATATTTATTTGGCCTGTTTTTTATTTAAGAAAGGTGTATTGTTGAGAATGAGGCCTACTTTTACAAAATGACCCCCCCTCGCCAAAAAGAATTACCCAATACTAGGTTCTATCTCTTAGATGAAGATAACAAATATTGTATTTATTAATAATTTGGCACTGTTAATTATCTTTTTGCCATTTTCCTAGAATGTCATTTATATATCTTCAAAATCTCAAATGGGTGCAGCATGGTATATGTTCAGTCATGTCCTGTTTAAGGCTGAAGAATGGTTACATGAAGAGGCACAGAAAGCTGGATGGACAAAAGCAACCAAGCTTCATGGGCGTACAATGTCTCATGGTCTGATAGCATTACAGAGTGAGGCACAGCACACAGTCATGATAGAGGTATGTACTACTTAATTTAAAGGAATTCTGGGTGATAAAAATAACAAAATATTGCTTCTGGGGCGAGATCAAACGACTTTGACATATTCTTTACCCTACCTATTTTGTAATTTAACAATCAACACAAATATACATAGGGAGGTTGGTATTGGATAGCATGGCAGGCGAGAGCAAGAGAAGGAAATGATAGACCTTATTTCCTGCCACATGGTCAACATTGACCCTACAAAATTTGAAAATGGGTTGGCATGGCATCCTTACTATCTCTTTCCCATCTTATGAGCAGTTAATGCATCCTTTTGTACATCTTCATTGCACTTCATTGTACTTCATTGTTCACACTCCTGTGACTCCCCCCAGTTGATCAAAATATGATGCCCCAGTGTTTGTGTAACATTTGCATGTACGTTTTTGTGTTGTAACTGTCAAAATGATATGCATAGTTTGATACTCATGGTGTTGGAACTGATCTTTTTAGATGAACTGTGAGACAGACTTTGTGGCAAGAAACAGTAAATTCCAGGATCTTGTCTCAAGTGTCACGGCTGCTTGTGCTCAACAGACACGTCAATGGACACAACCAAAGGTAAGGTATAGTATACAGTACAGGCCTGGCCAGGCCTACCACTCATGAATAACATTTTTATTTACCAATCATAAAAAAAGTTCAGTCTTTACCTTTCAATGGTGCATGTTTTTCAGTCAACAAACATGTTTTCTACACCAAATCCACCTAAATATTAGATACCAAGGTTTATTCTGTGGGAAATATCTATATCTCCCCTCAGAGTCCCTTCAATTTTTCATATAGGCATTTTCATCAGAGTTAACTCAATCAACTACACAGAATTAATGGATCTCATCTTTGATAGAGCTGTTGGGTGATTAGAAGAAACAAGACATTCAATCTTATCAAATTTTTGACCATGAAATGAAAATCAGCTACAGATATATCCATAGGACTGAAAGAGTGTAGACAGACTGTGATACTCTTCCCAAGGGTAACCTCTCAGTACTTGGTTTGTTGTAGGTTGTTCTGGACCAAGAGGAGGTTGGCAAGCTGGTTATAGGTGATAAGACAGTAGCTGATACTGTAGCTCTGGCTGTTGGTGACATTGGGGAGAACATGAGAGTGAGACGTCTGGCATACATGAACTCAACCAACAATAGGGTTGGTTACTACGTCCACTCAGCTAGTAAGATAACATTAAGTCATTTTAAATGTAAAATTGGCAGTATATATTGTAATCTCCACAATAATTGAGCAAATAAATGCTGTGTCCAGTTCAGAATTTGATCCCAACCTGTTGAAGGATATTATGATTCAAATTACAATCTTAACATGCTAATGTTGTTGTTTTTATACTATGAATACAATAAAGGTCTCTGTGCTAGAATGGGCGAAACTTTATGCAGTTCAAATTATGATATTCAAATTGTCTGTTGAGTCGTTGAAATGGTCTACATCAGACAAAACTTCTTCAAGCAATTGAGTGTTTGTGGTATCCTTGGCAAGAACATTAACGTATGGAGAGAATGGATTCATATATTAATTTTGATAATTCTGTATTTCTTCAGATTCCAACCCAGATAGTCCCACAAAGTGTATTATGGGTAAATTTGGAGCGATGGTTTCATTCACAGCTACAGATAATGACCGAGTGTCTAAACTCTCTTTAAAGGAGGTAGGAAGACAACTGGCCCAGCATGTCGTTGGAATGAACCCACAAAGTATCGGTAAACCCTCAGATATTGATGCCCATATAGCTGCCAGTTCTCAATCTAAACAGGAACCAGAGCCACCTATAGTTGCTCCCACAGAGTCTGACACTACTGGGCAGGCTGAATCAGAACAAGAGTACATTGACCCTGACCTTGATTCTGAACCCCCTGCGCGCAGAGAAAAAGATGACTCTAGAATTATTTTACAAGATTTTCTAAATGATCCGGATATTTATGTGTATGAGTTCCTAGACCAAAACAATGCAGAAATACAGGACTTTGTCAGATATGAATGCGGGGAAAATATAGAAGAAAGTTAACTGAAATAATGTATAGCTTATTATGGTAAATGTTAAAACTGTATTCTATCAGTTAAAGACTCCATATCTATATGGTAGAAACTATATGTTTCCCACAAAGCTCTGAGATCAATGTTTTCCTATCTGTTTTGTTACCAAGGTGAGTGGATGGTTTAGAAAAAACGGACATGGATTATATGAAGAATTGAAAGTAAAACCATTAAGAATACTCCCTCATGCCTAGTAAGGTCACATTTGCTCTGATTCATGGGCCGGCGCCAAGCTAATCGTAGTTTGAGTAGTTTAAAAAAGTTTGATCAATTTGAAGGAACTTGAAATCAGTTTTGAACAAAATACTGCAATCACCTGGGGCCTGGGCACTGGCAGATGAATTGGAGCAAATGTGACCTAGGCATCAGTTGGCCTCATCACTAAGGAAAGCTACATACATCATCATGATCATATACATTGTATTTGTGAAATAAAATAACAAAACAATATATAAAGTATACTTCTTTTATTTCTATGTTAAAACATGTGCTATAGCTAATAAACTACAGCTCTACAAGCCCATACATGACACAATATTGCCAAAAACAAGTACAAGTACATGTACTTTACATACAGACTGTCAAGAAAGTTAGACATCTCTCCCAGGCCCGTATCCAGCTTTTGCCAAGAGGGGGGGGGGGGGGGGGGGGTTGAAACTTTAAAAAGTTCATGATCACCCCCTGAACCCCTACCCCCGGCTGTGGGTCTCATATCCCTGTATTCAAAACATTAATGAAGAATTTGATGATGCTTGAACTTTCTGAACACACTGTAGATGTAACCATTCAACAAGTTTAATTATACATAACAATAATAAACATTAACTGTGTGATCAAATAAAAAATATATGACAATTTCATACAACATACAATGTATATTTAATTACTCTTCTATTTCCCGAGGAATGTGAAGGTTTAACGAATGCATTATTTTGAAATTACGAAAATAAAAGAAACTTGATACTTTATTCTTTACTTTTAAAACTTTAGCTAAATTATTTATAACAATAAAAAGAAAAATTTAAGAGAAGAATTTAATACTTTGATATATTAATTTTTGAAAGAATTGCAAATTGATGATGTGTGCACACAATCTGACAATGTTCTATAGAGAAACATTGTCAAAATTAAGTATCCCTTGTTGTGAACTCACTTTGGCAATACAATAAAAATGCTGACACTGATATTTTAAAATGCCATATTGGTAAGTACATGTACCATAGACATACATAATGCATATCCATTATCTATTTGTGAATCAATTTTATCATACATCATACGGCACTCATTGTCTCTCTATTGAAAAGAAATACCCTGGACAAGTCAAGATGCTGATGCATTACATGTAAATTACTAGTACATGAAGTCTTTTAATATACAAGTGTATATGTGCATGCATGGTCTACTGTCTCTACTTGCATTAATTAAACTCCATATTTTTGTATTGTACAGTCTTACATAAAATTTAAGCTCTACGCTTTCAGTGAGCAAATGACTGTGTCAGGTTAACCCTGTACTATGTGGTCAGTATGCTAAGTCACATCCCATAACATGAACGAGATTATACAACTTATGGACTCTGGCCATGAACTACACCTCAAAGTACATAAATGTATGGCAGAGGATTAGGGTGGGGGTAAAAAAGCCCATGTCGTTTTGTGCTATCAAAAAATTATTTTAGTCTGTCACATCTGTGTAGGTTTCACTTGGAGGGTAAGGAGGAGAATACTGAAAGTTAAATCATTGACCAGATTCCTTAAGTACCATTAAATCCATCTTTGAAAATGAAAGCATTCCATTTTGAGCTGTTTTTAATTTAAGATCAATGGATTGCAATAAACCACTGAAACTTTTGAATAATACTTCAAATGTCACATGTCAACAATGTTTGATGAGTCAATTGCACATTTTTATGAACCAAAACATGTAGGCCTTTAAAATGTTAATAATAAATACATGTCTACCATCTTGAGTTCTAATGTCACCGTCCTTTTGTGGTCACTGCTGCTGTATTATAATCAATAATCATGTATGTAGTAAGTTTCAACCTGAGAATATTCCTGACATTAGTAGCACCCCAGCAGCTACAGTATTTACCAATAAGATTGTGACATGAATGTTCAAAACAAATGCACATGTACTGTATTACTGTATTACTCTGACACATATCACAGAGAACATGTATACTGAGTCTGCAAAACCATCAATTTGAAGCAAAAAATCCAAGGTAAGGTTGTAGTTCCCATCTTGTAACAATGACTTCAGTTGCCTGTACATGTATACTGTATGTTTTCAGTGACCAGCTGCAACAATGCAACAGTTTGGTATTTATCCAAGTACAGATATGGTATTTATCCTAGACCAGATATGGTATTTATCCAAGACCAAATATGGTATTTATCCTAGAGCAGATATGGTATTTATACTTATTTAACTGTCTGAGTTCACTAGATTGCTTTGTACTTGATTTATATCCTGAAAATAAAAAAAATATAGACATAAAGAAAGGAAATAGTAGAAATCTTGGATTAGATCATTTATTGCAGTTTGAAAAATCTAGAAAATGATAAATACAGTACTTTTATTTTAGGTCATTTTTAAAGTGGATTTTATAAAAATTAATGTTTTTAGACACAACATTCAGGGTCACTTAAAAAGTGCAACCCATACTAATAATTATTGGCACTTTTACAAATGAGCTGCATTTTTATTTGTTCACTCTGTATTAAATAGTATGCACTTTATTATCATATACTTTCCAGCTGTTGGTTAGTAAAGTTAGGTGGAACACCTCTGAAAGAGGAAGACCTTCGTTAGTCATGACTTTCTCACGTCCCAGTACCCATTTACTTAATATAAAATGACCCTCTCCAAGTTAACACCTTTGTGACACTATTTTGAGGTATCAGAGATGTTCCAGTTTCATAAGTTTTACTGTATGTATTAGTTTAATATACACACTCTGATGTAAAAGAATATTCAATATTTTGAAGTTAGTCACATCTAGAAAACATAAAGAAAAAGAAAATTAGTTGAATCCTTTTCATAATTCATGATATCACTGACTATGAAGAGGGTTTGTTAATTACATGGATCAAAATTAAAATTGACAATTTGTGTTCCAAATAGTAGATATTCTCCCAAGACAGGTTAGATTTTCAATTAAAGATGAAATCAAAATTAAAATAAACTGTGTACACCAAAACACCTGACCACCAAACTAAAAGTGGAATATTTGTGAAAAAGTGCAGATAGGCCTTAAGTGAAAGTGAAAAGAGTTTTACTAAAATCATACACGAGAAGATCGTCTAACTAGAAGAAAAAAAAAATAAGAGTCTGACTTATAGTGTGTCAACTGATATGTCAGAATTTCCTACCAAATCTAAGATTGCCGACTCTTTTGTAAATTTTCTATATCCTTCAAGGGAAAATCAAAATCAAAATAATATTAGTACTGGGAATGAAACAAAAGTATGCATCAACATACATCATGTCATGCAATTCTAAATCAAACTTACTGTGTTAGGGATAATCTAGTATAATATTATATTTAAACTGTAGATTACTATAGTATGGTAGATTTTAAGGCAAAACTAATTTTTTTTAGCTAATTTATACTTGATACATGAATAGACAAGACATAGGGTATCAAAAGTATTTCAGTACTTTATAACAATACAATGATGCTGTGAATAATTATTGATTTGCAGTAGCAGTATATGCACTTATCAATCAAAAAACATGCAACTTAAAATTTGACACTTAATGATTCATACAAAAATAATAAATTGCTAATCAAATATTTTAGAAAGCCTTTGTAGTTATAATACAATAATTATTTGTAATTAACTGAAAATGTTTACCTCATTTAATATAGCTTTTAAGCGTGCATAGGCAGTTTCTAGGTCATCATTTATGATGATAAAGTCATAGGATCCCTTCTGTTCAGCTAGAAAATAAAAAAACATTTGTAAATAATTGTATTTTGGTTACCGACATATTTTGGGGAGCTCCTCTTTGGTATATTTCCGTATTTACACACAAAACAGAGCCAGAAATCCTCCTTGGAGGAGTCCTGTATTATTTTATGAGCACCGATACATAGGCATTCAAGTACACACCACACCATTTTTTATCAGTTGTAGATCACTCAGTCAGACACCCAAAATTACATAACGCACAAACTATGTCTAAACCAGGAATCAAACCAAGGGTTAAGTGATAGTGGTAACCCTGACTCTGCCAATGAGCCATGAAAAAATTGTTTACCAGTTCATGGTTTAATTTATGTCAATCAAATCAATCAAAATCATACATGAAAATTTCCTCTCAAGCAGAGGTCCAACACTCAAGCATAAGGCATACCAGTAAGCCTTTAAAATTTGAACCCAATCTGTTGACCAGAATTTGAGTTGATGCCCAGACAGATGGATGGACAGACTGACGGATGAACATATGGCTTATCTATATCCCTATTATGATTTGTAAGTATTAGAACATTGTGATATTTAATCACCAAGCTAAAAATCTCTATTAAGTTTCATATGCATTGAATCCCTCGAGACATATGCCTACCATAGACTAGTTCCTCCTTGGCTGTAGTGAGTCTTTTGTTCAAACTATCTTCATTTTCAGTTCCCCTGCCACGTAACCTACTCTCCTGAAACATGAGAAAACGCATATGTTGTCAGTCTCCCTTGTCATAACGCAATGTTTTAAAATAACATTGGATTAAGCAATTTACGTTGATGCTAGTATTACAATATTATGCCAAGCTGGTTAAATCTAGAATGAATCAACCTCGAAATCAATTATATTTTGAAACTACAAATCAACTATTTGTTACGCTGAACAATAATGGATGGGAATCATGGATACAATAACAATTTAACCAATTACTAACCAGAATTTCAAAGCTTGGTGGTTTTATAAAAATATATCTAGGATTAAGATCTGTTTTCTTGACACTTTTGACTCCTTGCATATCAATATCTAGTATACATATTCTTCCAGTCTTTGCTACCTCTTCCACCGCCTTCTTGCTGCAATGATAAACATAAAATTGCATTGCGGGAAATATTGCATTATGGGTAATGGTTAGATTGTAGGTGTACATGGCTGTGAAATACAAAGCACATGATGAAAATGGCAAGTACATGCCATTTAAATATATTTTATCATATCTTTGAAATATCATTGTAGTGTATTGTGTTTCCATATTATATTGCCCATGAAATGATATACAATGTTGGAACTTAAAGGCTTTATAAGAGTATCTTCAGTCAGTTAAGATCCTAAAACTAAAAAGTAAGAATATTCAGGATTTATTCTAGAATAATTCATGAACATCAAGAACTGGTCAGAAAGCAGAGCATATGATATAAATATACCCACCTAGTGCCGTAGAGATTCCCTGAGAAACATGCACTCTCTATGAATTCTCCATTGTTTATTGCTACTTCCATAGACTCCTTGCTCACATAATGGTAGTCTGCAACAACAATAAATTATATCCATTTAGGACGATGTACAAATGGAGACAGTTGTGCAAAAGTAATTTCATTATGGTTAGTTAAACCACATATATCATATATTAACATGCAAAATGTCACCACATATCATTTGTTACAGATGCCGATCACCAACCAAAACTAATTTCATTATGGTTAAACCACTCCTCACCACATATAACACAAGGGATTTTACATGCAAAATGTAGCCACCTGCCATTTGTAGTTACAGGTACCAATACCAACCTCCGAACACCATCCACAAAAAAGGTGGAGACTATAATAACAATATATAGCGAGACCTGCAAAGTGGAATACCTCTAGAAGTGGAACATCTCTGTTAGTGGAACACTTTTCAGAGTCCCAAGACCAACTGACTTAATGTTAAATGAACCTCTATAAGTGGAGCACCTCCCAAGTGGAACACGTTTTAGAAGTACCACAGATGTTCCACTAAGACAGGTTTTACTGTACTGTAATACAATAGGATAGTTTCTAAATAGCAGAAAAAGCAATGAAATCTAGTGCTGCCATCTTTTATTCAGCTTTTAACTTGGGCTAGAGTTCCCTTCACTTACATGCTAAAATCTTGGAAAAGTGGCTTAATTTCATGATTTATCAAAGAGTGTTTGTTGAATCTGTATAAAACTTGGATGATATACCACATGATGACCCTGTTTATGAACATGTAGTGATTAAACATGCAAATGTTGGTTGACATACAAATATTCCAGGGTTTTAAAGATTTTTAGCATTGCATCTATGTAGATTTGGCCCAAGTTTTTTTAAATTGTCATAGAAAATTATTCAAATTACAAAACTGTGTAAATCAAAGCTATTCTAGGAGAAAACATTTCAATGAATTCAAATATGCCATTTAAAAGAAGGTAATGTAAGTCATTAGAGGTTAAATATGCAAATCTCTTAAAATCTCACGAAAAACGAGATTTAGCGAGATTTCAAAAGCTATATGGAAACTATACTATTGTCTATTTGCCACTTGAAATTCATTTCCACTAATGAAATCAACATCATAATAATTACTAGCTAATAATTACCATACTTTAAAGAGGCAATGTTGCTTCTGATACTCGCTTACCAGTTTGTTTTTCAAAAATGTTATACCTTGGTGATCCAATATGCTGTTGCTTAGAGGGGACAATTCAAGTTGTCCTTGATATGTTGATTAGTCTATTTTACGAATATTGAGCTGGATGGCAAAAAATTAATTTTGGGGTTGAAAATTCCATATAATAAGTTGTTTGATTGCTAAAATGGTGTCTAAAGGTATTTAAATTTAACTTGAAAAATGCTTCCACTGTGAAAAAACTGATACCCTCTCCTTAAAATGAAAATATATAACACCCACCCTTTCCATCCTGCTCTCCAGGTCTTGGCTTCCTTGTTGTATCTGCAATCAAAATTAAAATTTGTCATTTTCTGAACTTGTTTCAAACTTTTCTTGTCATCCCTCATTCGCATCATCTCCGCTCTTAAGATGAAGTAGATAAGGGCTCCAGAGACAATATTCTTGTGTCACATACCATTTCATTACATTGCAATTCAGTGTATGAAGTTGTGGCTGACCCTCTCCTCATTGCAAATATTGGGATACTCATGTTATATGGACCTAATCAAATGCAAGGAGAACAATGCATTGCTATTAGACACAATATACAACGTTAAAATAGAGGACCATACAAGGGAAATGATACATTACATAGAAACATTAACAACTAGATTATCATGATTATCATTATTATTATGAAGTTGCCATAGTTATCCATGATGGCAGGAGTTTGATTTTGAAGAAAATTTGAATCAATTAAAATTTGCATAAATAAATGAAAATTAAAGCTTTTCATGCTAAAGCATGTATATATGAAATAAATAAATAAATAAAATAATAAAAATCCTGTGAATTCTACACCAATAACATCCACAGGATTTGAAAACACAAAATATGAGCACAATCAATGGTCTTTGCACTTTCCTTTGATTATCTTCATTAAGAATGTAAAACTGTACTTACGCGAAACACTGAATGCGAAGCAGTCTTTGTATTCTCCCATAAGCTTCTTCACCAGTGTACTCTTTCCAGAGCCAGATGGACCACTAAACACAAGTGGTTTTGGCCTATAGGTGGAGCTAGCGGCTGACATGACTTTCAGCGGCTGGACTAAAATGTTACAACACATTAATGTATACTGATTTAATAATATAAACTCATATAAGACATTCCATATATTTTTGTGCTAAATTCCATTACTAGTACACATTCTGCAGGCTAAATGGTTTCATTTAGCTGGATGAGGTGGCAAAACCACTTTTCATTATCTGAAATACTGTGGTACAAAAAATAAATCTTATAGAACCATAATATTCTAAGTTCCTGGTCAACATATGCTTTCAAACTTTAAATCATTGCAGGCCGTATTTTTCTTGAAAATATTGCCTCTATTTTTACAAAGACCCCCCACGAAGTGCGGTTCTTTGTACCTTATTCCGGACATGGACCAGTGGATCGGTCACGTGACCTAAAGACCGCCTTTATTACCTTATATGGCAAAGTGTCAAGGGAACTACTAAGTCGTCACATGACGCGATTACGGATCGATTGTGTTTCCAAGTAATGTCGTCATGTGACGTAGAACGCATTGTCCGCCATTGCTCTCAATTTTGTCTGAACGGGTAAGCGTATTTTAACATTTCTGTCATTTAAAGCCTGGTTTTCAGTATTTATAATCGAATTTCACTTCAACTTGATTGTAGAAATGAATAGAATTGTAACTTCTTATTTTACTGAATCATTATTCGAGCCAGAAGTGGCGCAAAATCAATTTATGAACTTGAAGAAATTTAGTTACTCATGGTTCAACGAGATTTTCAGATGGTTCAAATCTGAAATAGTCAACACTGATGTATTTAATGTTCTGTAAATGGTTAATATGATGCTATGCTGGTCGCAAGGAGAAGTATCAAAAGTTCAATGTCTGATAGGAAGCTAAATTAATCTAGTTTTGAGTTTGACCCGCTCCCCCCAAAAACGTGATCATCGCGGACTTTTCGCGTGTGGACTTTCGTGGATTTTGGATTTTCATTGGGATATTACCATAACGTATGTAGGCTACAATGTAGAATTCTTAAAACATGTGACAACAACAGTAAACAGCATTTGCAGAAAACATCAAGTAAACTCTTTATTTTAAAACCATTCAAAGAAATTCTGATCCGAATCAAAATTGCACAAAAATTGAAATGTTAAAATTTGTCTGATAGCAAACTGAAATGGCTTTGACCCCCCCCCTCCTTCTAGATTTATTTAGTTTTATAGGCTTATCCGTCGACATTGAACCTTAGATGCCTCCCGCCAGACTTATGTCACGAGACTGGCTATTACCATCTACATAAGAAGTGAACGATAGTTTTTTAAACTGGAAGGTCAAGGTCGGAACTCAAAAGAATATAGACTGCCCCAATTCATTTCTTTTTCAGAACAAGAACGCCAACAACAACAAGATCCTATGCATACGACCACGCACACCAACAACAAGTGCAACAACAAATAACGCAAACAATTATAAAAGTTATGTCAACAAAGACATATATTACAAATCAGGTGTGAAATCAGCAAAACTTGGGCTCAGTAGACAATAAAAATGTTTACTGTAGAAGTGTACATGCTAAGGCAGTGTCAAGGTATGTATCAAATCAAGAGATCAAAAGACTAAAAGCTAATGTATATTTTGTAACAATAGAGAGGTAAAGCAATACCATTTTTATTACATGAACCACAAACGTAAATCTATACATTACCGTTTGCGTTCTGTGAACGTGCTACTTTAAAAACGGAGGAAATGTAATTTGTAGGTCTTAAACTTAAAACTGGTTTATTTCTTTTTGCTAGTGGTTTCTGTTTTATTTTCTATTTATGACAAAGTAATAAGAGTGTTTCGACCCTTCCAAGCCGCGGTTTATGTTGCAAGAAGTACTAATACAATAATATTGTATTTAAAAAACTATTAGTATGAACTGTATGAATACATGAAATATCTTCATTCAAAGGTATAAATGTTGTACAAAGACAGACAGGAAATGTATTGACTAAGGCCACACATATAAGATATGCTTTTATCTCATATTTCCAGGGCACGGTAATAATAACAAAGGCCAAGAAGGATGAGAACTTTCCACAGAGTCCAAATGATGTCACGACAAGATCCAATGAGTTTCAATCAGGGTCCAGATGTCATTCACCAGGGATTTAATTAGACTTTTTGAGATTTGTTGTATATTTTTGGGCTATAAGACGCCACAATATACTGAAATATGTGCTTAAGTTACATGATTGTTTTATGTCACCGTGTAGAGATGGTGACATAATGAAGTTTGTAAGAGTTTATTCGTATATTTAAACTTTTTCTTGGTAATGCAATACTGCATCAAAACACAAAAAAAACAGATATAGAAATTGTGTTCACAGTTTGAAAATCTGATTTAAAACTCCTTGCAAAATGTAACATAACGTAAAAGAGCACGAAGCGCTATCTATATTGTTCTTGGTAAAAAAGTCATTTACAAAAATAACAATAGAGTTCCTTACTTGTAAGTCACCCTACCCCATCCAGAACAGTATACCAATAGCCTAATAGTATAAGTGGCGCTACATACTTCTGTGACAATATAACCATTTACTTAATAGATTCCACTAAAAGCAACATTTCACTATCACTCCATCTTTTCCGCCCCTTATACCTAACTTCGGGTCTTTGTAGTTTTTCAGTGATTTTTTCACTGGATTATCTTGTTACAAATATGTGTTAAAAAAACTACATCCATCAGTATTTAGGTACTGTTATAATAGTAGATTTCGTGCCATAGTGGATACAACTAAGTAATGGCTGTAATTGATCCACTAAAAGGATTCATCAGATAAAACACAATAAATCACAATATATTAGACTTCTATGCTTACTTTTAGTACGATATCTAAAGCAGAGAAAGTTGTGATACGCCATGATTTTAGAGCAGGTTTTCCCGAATTAATTTATTGGGATTTTCAATTTGTACTTCTCTTTATTCCAACTTCTAAATACTCCATCATCTTTTACGTCACAAGAAATTACATATCTTGAGTTGACACATAATCTTTGTTTTTGTCCTAATCCATTTGGAAAATTATGATTGAATACTATTACGGCTTGTATTTATCCACAATGTAAGTATAAGAAACAGAGGTCCTCAATATGTGTATCTTCATCAGCAATCTACAGATCTCGAACAGTAATATTATCAAACAAGATAACCAAACAGCTATACTATATGCAATATCTAGTGCCTTTTCTTATTACATGTATATATAACAGAATTTACTGGAAAAATCATATAACATAAAGTATACTGCAAGTAATAACCTGTCAATTGCATGAATCATGTATTGCATGATAACAATAATTTGTTACCAAGGTGACTATTAATTATCACATTCTGAATATTGTTAGGCTTTCTTCATTTATCTGATAGTTCACTTTAAAATCACTCAGAAAATAATCATCTAATTTAGGATTCTTTTAAGTATCAAGTCACAGAAAGGGCGCAGAGGGGAGAGCATCATGCCCGTTACATCGTCAATGAGAATGGTAGGTATCTACTTTTTAGGCATCGCGTCTACATTTTTGCACCGATGATGCTTTATATAAATAATTTTGTAGTTGTAGTTATGTAGTTCTTAAATGGAGAGAGTATTATTGCTTGATATGTCGCTATAGAATGAAGTAAACACATAATTAAACAATTTCCTTTTTATTAGGGATCCTGTATACATGTATGAATATAATTGAGTACCTAACATGCCTTAGTTTGGGAAATATTACAAATTCAAATTCAGAAATGAGCGCAAATATCTGCACCGTGCGCACATCATATCCGCACCATTTCTTTTTGTAAAGAACAGTCTGCATAGAGTTTAATAATATAAATTGCTTCTAAATTTTCAATGAGAAAATGGCAACTCTACAGAGTAGCAAATAAAAGTAGTACCATGGGTACTGGGCCCACATGGCGAAAGTACATTTTAGACATTCTTGTTAACTTATGCTCTTAGCTGCCTGTAATTAAGCCAATCAATGCAATGCTTTTGGATTCTTAACATATAAAAATTGATATTCTGGCCAATAAAACAGACAGATGTACAGACAAGGGGGCCACTACAATAGCTCATTTCATATACTTATATTCTACTTAATTTAGCGGCCATTTTAATTATTTTAATTCTGGGTTAAAAAAAGTGAAAAATGACCTGCTAAATTTGCCAAACTAAATCTCCGCCAAATTTCCGATTTTGACAAATTCGCCAAATTAAATAGCGCAAAATTAAGTAGAACTAGAAAACAGCAACTCCACGGAGTAGGAAATCCCACCGAATATAAACTGTTTTGATAAATGGCGACCATATTGGAAATTTCTTCTTGAACAGAGCTCCCTTGTCCCTAGGTATCAGCATACAAAATTTGAACCAAATCCATCAACTAGTATTTGAGTTATCTAAGATTATGTTTTTTTAAGAAAAATGGCAGCCATTTTGAAATTCAGGCAACAATTTGGAAATTTCTTCCCAAACAGGGCTCCTTTAGCTCAAGGAATCAGCATATAAAATTTGAACAAAATCCATCCACTAATACTTGAGTTATCAAAGATTGCTTTTTTTTATGAAAAATGGTGGCCATTTTGAAATTTGGTAGCTATCTCGAAAATGTCTTCTTGAGTGGAGTTCTCATGTCTCTAGTCATCAGCATATAAAATTTGAACCAAATCCATCAACTGGTTTTGAGTTATTAAATTTTATATTTTCTAATGAAAAATGATGGCCATTTTGAAATTTGGTAGCCATTTTAAAATGACTTTTTGAGTGGAGCTCCCATGTCTTTAGGCATCAGCATGTAAAATTTGAACCAAATCCATCACCTGGTTTTGAGTTAACAAAGATTACGTTCTGTTATGAATAATTGCGGCCATTTTGAAATTCAGCTGCCATCTTGAAAATTCCTTCTTGACCAGAGCTTCTGTGTCCCTAAGTATCAGCATATAAAATTTGAACTAAATCCGTCAAAGGGTACTTGAGTTATCAAACATTACATTTTTTATGATAAATGTCCGCCATCTTGAAAATCAGTGGCCATCTTGAAAATCACTTCAGCAAAGCTCCTTTGTCTTTAGGCATAAGCATATAAAATTTGAATCAAATCTGTTGACTTGTATTTGAGTTATCCAAGATATATCTTTTTATGAATAATGGTGGCCATATTAAAAATTCCTTCTCAAGCAGAGGTCCTATACCCATAAGGCAGAAGCTTATAAAATTTGAATCAAATCCATCAACCTGTATTTGAGTTATCGCCCGGACAAACCAACGGACGGACGGACGAATGCATGGATGGATGAGAGTGATCGGATGGACAGCTTTTCTATATCCCACTGGAACTTCGTTCGGTGGGATAATAACCGTACATCTTTGCTGCTCTAAAAAAATAAAACTTTATCAGAGTCTCTAAAATGAAAAATTCACCTTTTATCAAATAGCTCCAAAATAACCTGGTTAAAGAGATCGAGTCGTCCAGATTTTTATTCTGGACAATCAGTTATGTCCCAATATAATTGCTCATAAAACATCATACCTTAGATATATCTTGAGACCAAATCATAAGCACTATATCACCAATATATTGAGGATATCAACAGGACAACCAAATGAACAACCAACTGTCAGAATTGAACGTAATAAGTCGAAAACAGAATAAAATGTTTTTTGGGGATTTATCTATATTGTAACTCCTTAGAAGTAATAAATATGGCTTCACTAAGCCAAAATAATCTGAAGGAAAAAGCCAATCAGACTGGAACAAATTTGAGCGGGCTTTTTAAATTTAAATTTTAATTTCTATTGATGTAAGTGGAAATTCATGGCTAGGAACAATCATCGAATTGATACTGTTAACGGATTAATTCAAGCCTCAGAATTGATAAGCTGATAAACAAACTTGTTTTACATGAAATAACACGAAAAAAATCAGGGGGTTACTCTAATTGTGTTTTTAGGAGACCCGATCTCTTTAAAGTATCTTGTTTAAAATATAGTCAGTCCCAACAAAAAGTATTAACTAAATTATATATGCAGAAAATCAGTATGGTGATACTTACATGTTAAAGTAAAAAGGCGTGTCCTGATTCTCCCTTTGCCCACAGTAGTTTTGATGTGTCTGTTCAAACCAACTGGAAATACAGTTAAAACCAATAATTTTCAAATGAATTGAAATAATTTTGTTATAAAAATAAAGGACCTTCAAACGATGGTATATATCTTTATTATTGAAATTCAGTATCCGACACAATCATTTGGAACATGTATCTGCTTATTTAGCTTTGATAATTTAGAAGTTATTAATCTATACCCCACAAGGTTATATGATCCAGTTGACTATTCTGCAGATATACCATCGATTAGTAATTTCAATTTACTTTGAACTTAAATACAGAAGGCTATCACTGCGATCAGTTACAAATACCTGTATTATACTTTGCCGATTGCAGTGTATGTGACTCTTGTTGTGGCGGTAATTATTTGTGTAAAAATCAATAGGAAGCCCTATTAATGATGGTTATTGATTGTGATAACAGATATTCCTATTTGATCTCTGCAGCGTTAGAGTAATTGGAAAGTTCACACACAACATTATATGTACATACTATGGTTCAGTCTATACCATGTAGCATTGGTGGTTTAGTAATTATGTTTTAAAATATATTGTATATTATTAAAATATTCATTGGTTTGTGACTTTTTCTAAAGACAACCAATGCGCAAATTGCTAATGTTTCATTTCGAAGAGTCGTTTCATATTCAATCAATTTTGTTGATAGTTTCTAAAACTTAAAAAATTTATTGCTGATATATCACAAAGATCACAAGATCAAGCATGTCTTCAAAAAAACATACTTACTTACTTACAACAATTACCTGTATATTTAAAGTGGTAGGCAGATGTAAATTACTGTTTATTTTTAAAAGCCTTTTGGCAATATTACAAACATTTGACTCAATGACGATTATGAGAGGACTGTTGAAAAATGTTGTGCAATTTTGAATGAATCACGCCCAGTGATCGTGAATATGGGACGGAGGGGGGGAGCAGGCAATTTCTGCTAGGAAATTCAACAAATCTGGAAGATTTATTTTTTCAAGAAAAAAGTTTACTATTGAATTGCTAAATGGATAGGCGCACGGTATGGTAGAATATGTTAGGTTTTCTGGGATTTTTTCTGAAACGATACGCATCTAAGGTATGAGATCTATTAAAAAAGGCGCAAGGCCATCAACAGGCACAAATCAACGTTTTTGCTATAAATTAAGCAACGATGGTCTGGACGACCTGTAATAAATACTTGTAAGTGATGTTATCATAACTAAATTAATGCCATTGCTGAATTTATAAAATAAGTTTCCATATGTGAAATAAAAAATAATCGAAAATAATGAATTTGGGACGGAGGGGGGAGGGGACGGAGGGGGGGAGCAATATGTATATAAGACATGATTAGAGATGTTTCGCGACTTTAAGTCCTTTCACTCCAAATGTCCCCATTTTTCAGTCTCCAGGGGTATATCATCCAGTTTCTTACTAAGTTAATGAGTTCATTTTTCAAATACAAGAATTCGTGTGAAGTTGCTTCACTTTATAGAATTATTACTCCCCCCCTCCGTCCCCTCCCCCCCTCCGTCCCATTTTAATTATTTTCGATTATTTTTTATTTTACGTATGGAAACTTATTTTATAAATTCAGCAATGACATTAATTTAGTTATGATAACATCACTTACAAGTATTTATTACAGGTCGTGTAGTCCATTGTTGCTTGATTTATAGCAAAAACTTTGACTTTTGCACGTTGGTTGCGTTGCGCCTTTTTTAATAGATCTTATATCTTAAAAGAGTATCGGTTGAAAAATAATCCTAGAATACCTAACATATTTTATCATACCGTGCGCTTATTCAATTTGCAATTAAATCGTAAACTCTGTCTTGAAAAATAATTTTACCAGATTTGTTGAATTTTCTAGCGGAAATTGCCTGCTCCCCCCTCCGTCCCATTTTCACGATCACCGGGCCTGTGAATGTAATTTATGAAGACAAGATAACAAGTTCACAAATTACAAATAAATAAGAAAGATAACAAATTTAAACACTCTTAAAACAAGGTTTAAAGGCTGAATCATATTTATGAAGACAAGAAAATATCCAAACAACATGCATGTAAATCTATAATATCCCATTATATTTTTTATAATCTCAAATAAATTATATTATTATTTCACAGTCGTATTTCTTACTTCAGTCACAGTCACGACCTAGTTCCATGTAATTTCAATTTTATATAGCCCCAGGAGTACATTGTTATGATCAATTAGACATCAATAATTTGTGAAGAATATAACAGTGAATAATAAAACAAATATTTAATTCTATTTCAGTGAATACCTGTGACACTTTCCCAATATGATATTCCCAAAGCCAGATGGCCTAGGTAGATGCACAGGTATTCAACTCAATATAATTAAATATTTGTATATTATCTCCAAGGAGATTTTTGATATCTCATCAAATAGTGAAGTTGTAAAGGTTGAGGAAAAGTTTAACCCACTTTGGCTTTATCATACATTTGCTCTTCCCTAATGTTATCAAAATGTGCACATCATAAGTGAAACTTATCTTTTAATACAAAAAGTTGTTTTTGACAGACTATTTGTTTGCCAGCTTGTAAACTTATTTAAAATAAAACTTTGGTTGTCATGTCATTTATCAATTCATAAGCAATAGGCTAATTTACACCAATGCGAAGCCTATATCTCAATTAGTGCAGTAAAATGCTTTTACTCTTCTTCCAAATACACAAAAATCATAGAAACATATTAAGTGATTTAATTATATGGCACTGCAAAGATACAAAGATACTACATTACCATTAATCTGCAGATTCTGGTTCAAGTGACTTTTGTTTGTCCTAACTTATACAGTATATGTATAAAATGATATGAAGATATCTACAAAGCCATTGGCCAATACATACCTACCCAGCATGCACCACATCTACAGTGTATTATAAAAGGGAAGATGTCAAAAATCTAAATTGCAATTAAATTACTTTTTACTATTTTAAGCAATGTTCATGTCATGATGACAGTATTGATGACAGGTCACAAATTAGTCTAAATGGGGGGTTAAGTACTTCAGGTTGTATTGCATAATTTGTACTTTACTGACAACATCACTAGAGATAAGAACAATCTTCTCAATGTCAAAACAATGACGCATCAAAAAGCTGACACTAGACTGCACAGTATGTTATGATATGTTTGTTTACAGGCCCATGGGGTTCACTGTATATAAACCTTGATGGGTATCCTCGGCGCATGTGGGGTACCTTTTTTTGCAATTTGGTATGGCAATAGAACCAAATTTTAGGATCTGGTATGAGAATGCCCCAAAAATTCTGACTTTTGAGGTATGGTAATGGTTGAATTTTTCCACTTTCTGATATGAGAATGGTTGTGGTTAAATGTCTCACAAGACTTTTGGTATGGCTTAAGTCCTATATTTGAGCATTTGGAATGGCATTGGTCCTATATTTGGACATTTGGTATATTATTAATCCTATATTTGGACATTTGGTATGGTATTGGTCTTAAGACATATTTTAATGGCTTTAAGGCATTATTTTGGTTGGTATGGGAACACATGGAAATTTGACAGATTGGTATAGGAGTATATTGATATCTGAGGTTTCAGCCTAGGACCACCATCTAATTTTGTACACAGTGAACCCCTCGGTGTACAGGTGATCCAACACATCCGTAGCCAACTTCTTAAAGGGGGGGGGGGGGTCACTTTTGACAGCTTTGGCCCATAGATAGGCAAAATCCCTTGAAAAGTGCTCAGAAACAAATTAAACAATTATATCATTTTGAATGAATTTTTGGCCAGGGGGTTACAAGGCCTCTGCAATGAAGATAATGTGCATCAGGATGGTCCCATTATCCTGTTCATAAAGTATCAAGTGTGGCCATGGAATTTCTTAAAAATATGCTATTATTTTTAACTAAATCTGACCATAACATCTAACCTTACAACCTGCTTGTGCATGTTTTTTTATCAAAAATAATTATCCAATTAGTGTTAACATTAGGGAGAAACTTCATGAATGTGGTCTCATTCTATTAAAAATATTTATCAAACTACCTTAATGTGTACTAAATATCCTGGGCTTGAACTTTTCTTTAGATTTCATCATTAACAGATCTGAATCATAGAATGAACAGAGGAACATCATTCCCAATATTGGGGTTATCAAAAATGCGCAAGACAATAAAAGAAAATTCTTGGGAAACATATTTTTAAAAAATTGAATATTGGTATATTATTAAGGAACATAAAATGATTATCGATTTTCTATAATATCTTATTATTTCATATGATATCTATGAATTATAAGGAAGATACATTATAATATCTTGTATCAATATAATTGAAGTGTAATATTGCATCAATGTAATCGGAAATGTAAGGTACATCTAAGATTGAAGGTGCCAATGCTGTAGCCTGGCATCCATAAACAAACTGGGATTGTTTGTTTGTAAATATCTATCTTTTCCAGTTACTTACTTATTAGTTCATATATGCTGGAAATAAATATATACAAACATACACATAAACACCCACTTCAATTCAATTCAATTCAATTATTTATTTCATAATTCTTATATAATATACACTATAAAAACAAGCCGCTAGACACCCTAGTGGGTATATGTTGCGGTTTAACAGAAATCATTAAAATGACAACTAGACTACATATAAAAGAAAACACTTATATTATGTTACATGTAGGTATATAAAAATGGTATTAACAATTAATCTAAGGATGTACAATGTAAAAATGTTACAAAAATCGGGTACCAGAATAAAATCAACAGTATAGTATGATATTGGTATTATACATTATCGATAGATGAGTAGTTTTTTATATGAAGATTTGAAAATATTTAGAGTGGAGCATTTTTTAATATCATGTGGTAGAGCATTCCAAAGATTAGGACCCAGATAGCGAAGGGAAAGTTTAGAGCATTTAGGGATATGAAAATAATGCAATTGTCTTGTGTAATGATGATGAATATTAATGTTGATATCAAACAAGTCTTGAAATAGATTTTTTGGAAGA